ACACACACTCACGCGGAATCCGATCCAACTTTTGGTGAAAGGCCAACCCTAAACCCTACATTTGCTTCTTATTTTGATACCCGTGCCTAGCACCGAGTCAACCCTGATGCCAACCCTGATGCGCATATCCTTGACAATTAACGTACGCGATTGCCAAGGTGTTGTCGTTTGGGTCGGAGGCAGTTCGTCCGCTTTGCTGCAGAGCTGCGCAGTAGTCCCGCCCAGGTTTGCTTGTCAACCCTACCCTCACCCGTGTACGTATACATTTCGATCGTCCTTTCGCTCACACCAGCTTGGCATCCATAAATTCATTCCTTTCCCCGGCGCGCGTCCCCCGGCCCAACCCAAAAAAATTATAAAAGACAAACACGAATCCTTCCTAATTAGTATTAATCTATAATTCCCTTAACCCAAGCACTTGATTTTCGAGAAACACCAACCTCTACAAGCACAACATCTAGAGAGGAGAGGTTGTGCTCCTAGAAGCACAACCTCACTTTAAACTGAAAAAAAAAAAAAAAAAAAAAAAAAAAAGAAGCACAACCTCAGCGACCTAAGCTGATGGCATCCCTAGGGGTAGCTGCATTTGCAACTGCGGCGAGATCCCACTTGGATTAAGCGCCTGAATCTGGACGTGTTATAAGCAGAGAGACGAAAAACAACATTTTCTTCACCTCTCCACAATCACGTCTAAATCCAGGTGTAAAACGAGAATGAATCTTCCGCTAGAACGTGGAAAGATACACCGCCATATTTTTTGTGGTGTGAATGTTGACGAGAGTAGTGCAGCGGAACTTTCAGTCTCGAAGTTACGGCGCCAACGACCGTGCGCTCGATTGGGGTGAAGAAGGAAGCCACCGCGTGCGGACCACAAGGTCAGCCTGCGTGGCATGGCAGTGACCGGCGTGACAACATGTCACACGACAGTGTGCGACCTTAACGTGACGTGGGACCAACTCTCATCATGTACTAGCAAACTAGCGGTAGTAAATGGATTTCGAATTCCTACCGTCTTCCCCCCCCGAGCACCGTGATTATTAACGTATAGAAGATGTTTTTCCGGTCCGGTACACTCAAAATCTGCTGCCGACGGTTTGTAACAAGGAATTCATTGTCGAGTGATCCAAAAGGTTAACTGTGGTATTAAGAGTTGTTGAAGGTTAAGTGGGCTCCCAGCTCGTCTGGGACCGTAAGCAAGCTAAAGCGGCTGAAGCTGCCGGGATAAACCCGGGTTGACTTGTGAGGACCCCGGCCTCCTATTATGATTTGTTGTTACTGGAAGTATTTCAATCAAAAAAAAAAAAAAAAAAAAAAAGCTGCCGCGACCTCGATCCTCTTGAAAATGAACAGCTGGAAGGCACGGAAGAGAACACGAGTAAGTCGGGACATCGCACTTGGTCAGCGGACCCCCAGAGCAGTCCACGCTTCCTCAACATCTCCCGGGCCACGTGTCGGAGAAACACGTGGCGGCAGGGTCACGCTACCAAGGCTGCAATGCATGGGCCCAGGATCCACGTTCCACTTTGTACCCGCTTTGCCAAAGAGGGAGGATAAGAGACGATTAGTTAATGAAGTAACCTGTCATGTCAGAAATAAACGTCGTGTGTAACCTGTCGGTAAGGAGAGAGAGAAGACGGGAGGAGGGAGGGGACAGGGGGAGGAAA